CCTGCTGCGGGCAGAGCGCCTATGGCCTCCTGGGAGCGATGGGCCTTCGCATGCCTGATCTCCTGGAGCCACTCAGCGCCCTTGAGACCGTGAGCGGAGAGCAAAAGCTCAACAAACTTGGGCGAAGCTGCAAGCTGCTCGTTCACGCTGCGCTGTGTGATTTTTATCGCGGCAAAACAAACTGCGCTGAGCACCGATGGTCTGTTTGCCACCTGTCCGCGCAGCGCAACGCTAGCGTGCTCAGACGTTGCAGGCGTCCGAGGAAACGCGCCGTGGATCACGCCGCCCATCGGGTGCTTCTCCTCCAGCTGGCAGCGCGCCAGTCGCCCGCGCCGCTCTCTGGAGCGCGCGGAGAGGGTGATTGGAGCAGGAGCCATCTGAGACGAGCCGGAGGTTTGTTTGACCTCGGCGGACAGCTGCCCAACGATGCAACGGGCGGGCGGGCGATGCCCGCCTGAGGCCGCCCTCGGCAATAAAAACTGTCGCTCTGGCGCAGGGGGCCAGGGCTCGGCCATTGCAAAGCCAAGGCCACAAGCGCCAAGTGGCAGAGTTCACGCGGAGAAAGAGCCCCCCGTGCAACAGGACCACTGGGCAACAGTCGGCCATGCAAGACAGCGCCCACTGATGGGGGCCCAGAGGGCAGCAGCGGTGGGCACGGGAAAGGGGGGACAGGACGGCCTCCCCCGCGCCCCGACGCACGCGGCAAAAGAGGCAGCCCACCTGCGTTGGGTCTGGCCCAACCCAGCTCTACCTCGGGGGGTAGCGCGGCGACGCCGCATGCCTGGCAAGATCTGGACGGTCACCAAACATAAGTTGCCAGGCGCGCGTTGGTCTTCAGATGCTCATGCCAAGGCGCGGGCCATGATGGAAGGAAGTAGTGAGACGTGCATGGGCATTTTGCGAGGCCTGGCGCTTGCAATTTTAATTGTGGATCGCCCGAAGCATGCACTCCTGGGGTTCCCGATGCTTCTGCACCCCCTGGGATGCTCCTGATGCCTCGGTTGGCCTCTGGCGGAGCCCTGGACAACCGAACAGGAACGATGCCTGGGCGCCGCCATCGTTTCCGCCCCCGCATGGTGCCAACGGGGAGGGGCTGGCAAACATATTTTTGCCGGCCCACCCCCGCCTGGTGCCAAACAATGCCACCGATTTTTTGCCGGCCCCATTTTTAACAGGGCTGGCGAAAATCCGCGGTGACCGCCTGCTGGGGCCGGCAAAAATATGTTTGCCGGCCCGACACCCCTGGCACCAGCGTAGCGCCACAGGCACCGACGCCGGCGAATCCAGTGCCGAACTTGACCCAACGGTGCGGTGAGTGGCATTTCATCTCGACGGTGCTTCCGAGATTCATGCGACGCCGTCTGCCCGGGGCCCCGGTATGTGTGCCCCTGCCCCCTGCCCTCGTCGCCCTTTCCCCGTCCCCCATCTCTCACTCCCCCCTCCAATTGCTCCTCCTTCATCCCACTCCTCCCTTTTTTCTCTTTGATCTAACGCAATTTGTATCTGGGCCTCTTCGCACCAGCCTGGAGATGTCACCACGGCCCTCGATATGGCGACGATTTGGTGCCCACCCTGCGGCCGCCTATATGATATCTATAACACCGAGGTAACGCCACTTCTAGCTCGTATGGGCCCGACCCAACACCTGCGCGACCGTCACCGCAGGGGGGGGAATTACCTTCAGCACCCCGCGGCCGCGCAGCAGGGGAACGCGGACAGCGCGCGGAGGTGAAAAGGGCGGCCACCTTCGCTAGCCCGGCGGGACCCCGCGGCCCGATGTCCAGGGCCGGCTGCGCGACGCCAACACCGCCAAACTGGGCGACGCAAAAACGCCAGATCGAACCCGCCACGTAAACCCAGCTACCGCTGAAAAAGAAGAAACAGCGGCCCCCTGGGCAGCGGTCACCGCGGGGGGGGGGATTACCTCCAGCGCCCCGCGGCCGCGCAAGCAGGGGGGCGCGGGCCAACGCGGCAGCGCAAAAGGACGGCCTCGGATCGAACCCGCCGCGCGTGCCCGAGAACCGCCCAACAAGAAAGAGGAGCGGCCCCCCTGTGCAACGGTCACCGCAGGGGGGGGAATCAGGCCCCGCGGCCGCGCAACAGAAGGAGGCGCACACGCCCGCGGCAGTGGGAAGGGCGGCCGGCATCGCCTGCCTGGCGGAAACCCATCAGCCCGAGTTCTAGGGCTGGCTGCGCGTCGCGAGCGCCGCCAAACAGGACAACGCGAAACCCCGGATCGACCCCGGCGCGCAGGTCCAGTGACCGCAGAACATACAACACAAAGCACCCGACCAGGTGAACCACAAACAATAAAAGGTTAAGCTCGCAATGGTGGCTCTCGTGAGAATCTGAAGAATCCCAGCCCCCCTCCAGCCTCCCACCGCCGCCGTCGGACAAGTCCGAAGACAACGAATGCGAGGGCTGGCCGTCCAGGCCATGCCAGAGAGACCCGCGGGTGCCCCGCTGCCGGTCTTCATCGCAACGAACAGCTGCTCCGCGCCTGGCAGCGCTCGAAGCGGCATTTGGAGCTCCCGCGACACCGCCCTCTAGACACTCAACGCCGACCTCGGGTCGGAGCCTTCCGCCCGGGTTGCCGCGCTCGCTGCCATGGGGGGCGAGGAGGTCGGGAACGGGGGAAATAGCAGGGCCGAGCTCAGGAGCGAATGCCGAAGAGTGACCAGCGGGAGCTTCTGAAGGAGCAACCAACAGTTCACGCGCACTGTGAGTGTTGACGATCACAGCATACTTCCCGGGGTTAGGATGGAAGCCGCGGCAGAGGGCCCCCCAGGAATGTTCGGCAGTTTTGGAGGGCCTTACCTGGCCCATCAATTCTGGCACCAGTGCTGCGACATCGACATTTCATGCACACCAACAGATGGGGGCGATCACTGCGCGAAAAAAAAACTTCGTGGCACCAAAACCGACGCCCCTTCATCCAGCTTGCTCCTGCGCGCGCACGCTCCAGGCTCAGGCTCCTCGTCAGACCTGCAACCTACCAGGCAGACCCGACGCCGCCAAATACCAGACCAGGGGGCCCAATCGTGGCCCGTCTCGTCGAAGGAGAGCCGAGGAGGACGGGCAGGGGGAAGATGCTCTACGTCAGACAGGTCGAGACGGGGCCTTTCCAACAGCACCTTGGCCGCTGACCTACGGACAGCTTTCGCACGATCGACTGGCCCACCGACGACCTCGTTGCCGTTGGTGTCAGACGGATGAGACGACAAAGCAGCTTCGGTAGCAACGTCTGCATCAGTGCTGCAATTGCGGCAGAAGCGCTCGTAAGCGTCCATGCCTTCTTCATCGGTGTGTTTGTGAACGGCAACCTTCATATAATCACAGATCAAAGAACTCTTCCGAGCATTAGCTTCCAACATGATGCCACTGCAAGCGGACATAAGAGTGTTTCACACCATTCAAACAATCCGAGAAGAGCTCAGAAGCTCACTTGACCAAATTACCGGCCATGCCTCTCGCGAGCTAGTCACCAGCCTGCGGGGTTCGAGGGTACTGGGCCCACTCCAAGCCCCATGGCTTCCCCACAAGAGACCCCACTATCATCGTGCATCGTGATAGCCCACGACGCACGGCTCAACTCTCTAATGACGTGCCGCTGGCAAGGCCCGCCAAGCAACAGCGAACCCCAGACGGAGCCCTCCTGGGGAGTTTCGGGCCCCCCCGGGCTCTGCAACGCCTCGAAATGCCAGCGGCACACCACGCTGCCTTCCAGGCAGTGCCGAGGCAGGGAATCGGCGGGGTGGGCGAGAGCCCCGAAACAACATGACAGGTCATAGCAAATGTCAGCCTCAGTGTTCAAAGCGGCGGATACGATCTTATCCTTCGAAAGCTGCGCTCGCTGATCAACCACATGAGGGCGGACCCGCAACCAATGATGCAAAGAGCCGGCCGCGCCAGTGCGCACATCTGGGACCGACCTGACACCCACAAACGAGAGCGCGATCAGGGGTCCAGATCGCATTGCAAGCCAGGGCCCTGGCCATCCCTTTCTCGCTGGGTGAAAAGGCTTCGTCGGCCAGGGCAACGCGCGGGATGTCAAGGCACAGCCTGCCCCCCTCTACTCCACTTAGTGCCAAGATTACGCTCGAGCGATCTGGTTATACCGCCCCTGCAAAAATGGCGAACAGAGCGGGGGACGTGGCACCGAGGGGAATAAGGTATCCCTGATCATCAATGATGGTCATCCACTTATCCATCTGCCACCCCAGCCTGACCAGGCAACGCCTAAGAGCGGAAACAGGGCCCCCAACGCGACCCCAAGTAAACTTGGCCTGGCCCCAAACAGCAGTCCACGCGCCGCGCAGCTCTGTCTGGGACAGGGAATGTTCAAAAACCCTCGTCCGCACAAACCAGTTTTCTGTCCCACCGCAGGACAGGCGCAACAATCGCCCTCCAGGTGGGATCGCCCGATGAAAATGCAGCAGGCGGTCAGACTGCGAGACTGTGCTGTGCGGAAAAGGCCGAACCGTCGAGAAAGCTTGCCTCCTCATCAAAAGTACATCGTGATCCGACACGCCAACAATCTTGGCACCGTAGGAGCCACCAGCAAGAGGGCTGCACGCCCGCCAGAACAGCAGCCTCGCCCCAAAGTTGAACTGCAGCTGCATATGACGAAGCACACCTCCTCCAATTGCAGAATTCCAGCCAAGTCGCACACTCCTCGAAATACGCCTGCACTGCCGCCTGACCGCGCGCCCGCTTGGCAGCAGCACGGGGCAGCAGGTCGACATCAGCAACCGGGCCCGCAGAAAACACCCGAAGATTTGTCCGACCCAGGTCCCCCGAAAGTTTCTTGAGCCCCTTGGCCAACCTGCACATGGCAGCCATCCTCGACTTGAGCTTGCTGGCCCTGCCAGACGAACGAATGAATTTACCAGCAGAATAATCCGCCCCAGAATTGACAGTGGAGTCTTCCACTCTGCCAACAAGACAGCCGAGCTGTTTGCCAACCTCGAGGGCCACCGCTTGGCTGGACGAGACCGTGCAGCACACCTTACACAGAGCCAGGCTGCATCCAAGCATATCCGTGACGGCCGTGTGCAAGGCCTGTGAGGTGGAAACGATCGTAGCAACCACACGATGACGAGGGCCTGAGACAGATCTGGATGCACAAACATGCCACGGGCAACAATGCCAAGATCGGGGTCATGGAGTGCTGCCTGGAAATGTGGGGGAGGGAGGGGGGACAGGAGGAAGGGAGGAGGGAGGAGGGGAGGGAAGGGAAGGGGGAAGGGGAGAGGGAAGGGGGAGGAGGAGGAGAGGGAGGAGGGAAAGGGGAAGGAAAGGGAAGGGGAAGGGGAGGGGAGGAGGAAGGGAAGGGGGAAGGGAAGGGGAAAAGGAGGGAGGGAGGGAAGGAGGAGGGGAAGGGGAAGGAGGAGGAGGAGGAAGGGAAGGAGGAGGGAAGGGAAGGAGGAGGGAGGAGGGAAGGGGAAGGGAGGAGGGAAGGGGGAAGGGAAGGGGAAGGTCGGAGGGGGAGGAGGGAGGGGAGGAGGGGGGGTGCAGGGAAGGGCGAGGGCCGAAGGTCGAGGCTCGGGGCGTCTCGGCGCTCCTCGGCACCTCCTGGGCCTCTTGGGGGGCCACGGCCCGGTCCGCCTCGAGGCCTCTGACGGAGCGCACCCCCTGGAAAGGTGCGGAGCCGACGTTCGATAGAGGGAGGAGGAGGAGGAGGAGGAGGAGGAGGAGGAGGAGGAGGAGGAGGAGGAGGAGAGGAGGAAGAGAGGAGGAGGAGGAAGTAGGAGGAGCAGGCGGAGGAGGAGGAGGAGGAGGAGGAAGGGGAGGAGAGGGAGGAGAGGGAGGAGGAGGAGGAGGAGGAGGAGGAGGAGGAGCAGGAGGAGGAGGAGGAGGAGGCGGAGGAGAAGGAGGAGGAGGGAGGAGAGAAGGAGGGGGGGGGGAGAGGAGGAGGAGGAGGAGGAGGAGGAGGAGGAGGAGGAGGAGGAGAGGAGGAGAAGGAAGGGGAGGAGGAGGGGGAGGAGGTGGAGGAGGAGGAGGAGGGGGAGGAGGAGGAGGAGGAGGAGGAGGAGGAGGAGGAGGAGGGAGGAGGAGGGGGGGGCGGGATGCCCCCCCCCCTTCCCGAGTCGGGAGAACATCCGGTCGGGAGGCTGCTGGCAACCTTCGGGCTCTGGGGGCCCCGTGCGGTCCCTGGTGCCGTCGAGCAGCGGCTCGGGACGATGCGGCCTCCGAGGGTCCACGGTGCGCAGGGCTCGTGACGTCGGGCGTCTAGAAGGGGGGGGGAGATCACGACACTGACGATCAGGCTGCATAGAGGCCCAGGGCTCCCAACTTCGCGCTTCGCGCTGCGCGAAGCGCGAAGTGCGAATAACTTCGCGCTCTCGCGCCGCCTCCCAGGGGAGAAGAGGAGGAGGAGGAGGAGGAAGAATCGGAGCCGAACCGCGAAGCGCGAATAACTTCGCGCCCTCGAGGGCGCCCTTGCTGACGATCAGGCTGCATGGAGGCGCACAGAGTTCCCGACAACATCGGATCGACCCCTTGGACGCGGGGACGCAATCCAACCAAGATGTCGAGGCATATCCGGCCGTGGCTACGAAATCCTCTCCCCGAAGACCACCAGGACGAGACATCGAACGAAAGCCCCCCTCCCTTCCTCCAGTAAGTTTGTCTCCGTGGTGAACTATCGAGAGGTCCACATGATGCTTATCGGAGCATTAGCTTACACGTCGGACGGAAGAAGTAGGCAACACATGAAGTAGCAAAAGCTCCCAACTTCGCTCTTCGCGCTGCGCGAATCACTTCGCGCTCTCGCGTCGCCTCCCAGGGGAGAAGAAGAGGATGAGGAGGAATCGGAGCCGAACCGCGAAGCGCGAAACACGTCGCTCCCTCGAGGGCGCCCTTGGCGCAGGAAGGCGGCTAAAGTGGATTGGGCTCGGGCCCGCCCTGAGCTCCCCCGCCCTCTGGGAAGCTCCCCCGCCTTCTGGCAACGCCGCCCCCCTCGCGCCACCCCCGTGCGCGCGCCGCTGGTAGTCTCTGCGGCGGCTCTCCTTGGGACCAGGTACAGTCGGGCGTGATTGGTCGGAGAAGACGGGATCGGAGGAGACGCCTCCTAGACGGGGTCGGAGCAGACGGGGTCGGGAGATCGCGCCGCATCGCCGATACATCGACGATGCATCGGCGATGCACCAGCGATGCATCGTCGACGTGGTCTGTGCATCGGCGACGTCGACGACGTGAAGCAACTCGGGCTCCACATCGAGCAGCATCGGCGATGCATCGGCGATGCGGCGCGATTCTCCAACCCTATCTACTCCCAACCCCACCTAGAAGGCCTAAAGAGAGGACACAAGACCCTTGGGCCACGTTGCCGTAGGAATGTAGAAGGCATGGGTCACAAGACAAAGGACACAAGGGTACCCTCGATTTGGCTGGGCCGCCCTACCAATCCAGGCCGACTGGATTCTTCCCTGTCTGTTACGGCTCCCTTGTCCGCGGAGGGCCCCACGCAAGGCTGAAATTGGGTCGAGCTTGTCCCCC